TTCCAGGGGGTCATCATTTGAACAAACTTGAATCTACACTACCTGAGGATGCTTCCATATCAAAATGACTAAACATGATTTTCTGTTCTTGAGAAGAAGATGTTTTCCTATATGTTCCTATGTAAAATTTTCGATCCCCCATTGTGGCCCTACCCTAACCCCGGGGGTCATGATTTTAACAATTTTGAATCTACACTACCCGAGGATGCTTTCATATCAAAATGACAAATCATGGCTTTGCAGTTCTTTCTCAACATAATTCTATTTAAGACTTTGATCCTCCATTGTGGCCCTACCCTACCCCCTGGGGTCATGATTGGAACAAACTTGAATCTTAACTGTCTTAGGATGCTTCCATATAAATATGACCCATCAGGGCTTTGCTGTTCTTTAGAAGAAGAAGATCTTTAAAGATTTTTCCTATATATTTCTATGTAAAACTTTGATCCTCCATTGTGGCCCCACCCTACCCCCGGGGGTCATGATTTGAACAAACTTGAATCTACACCACCTGAGGATGTTTTCACATGAGTTTCATCATTCCTGGCTCAGTGGTTCTTGAGAAGAAGATTTTTAAAAGATGCTATTCATTTCTCACTAATTCTAAATTATCTCCCCTTGAAAGAGGACATGGCCCTTCATTTGAACAAACTTGAATTCCCTTTACCCAAGTATGCTTTGTGGCAAGTTTGGTTGAAATTGACCCAGTGGTTCTGGAGAAGAAGTCGAAAATGTTAAAAGTTTACAGACAGACAGACGGACTACAGACAAAATGTGATCAGAAAATCTCACTTGAGCTTTCAGCTCAGGTGAGCTAAGAACGATGTTGGTGACTACCAAAGCATTGTACTACTAATAAATTGTGAATTCAGCTTTTAATTCGGTTCGCAAGTATCGAAAATCAACCCGAAAATGCCGCTTCCAGTTGGAGGCGGCGAATTTCCAGTTTTCGTAATGGCGCCGGTTTTGACGTTTTTCTGGCAAGTAAAATATCAAATCTTTAAAAAAGCCAGGAAAACGTCAGATATTTCGGACTAATATACTTGCATTATTGAAGCCAGCTTTAAATTTCACTAGTGCATAACCAAGTTAAAATTCTAAAAGTTAAGTTTATAAATATTTTCAACACGCTCTGTAGTTTCTGAAAAGTGCTGCAATCCTATATAGATTCTGCTATTTCATTGTTAAAATCATGTTTGTATGACTGCTCAAGTTTTTGCTGGTCAACGGCATTAAATATAGATATAATTAATTAATTTTCAAGATTTCACCAGGATCGCAGCACTTTTCAAATACCTTAACACTTCTAGAGTTTATTTGTAAAAGCTTACTATGATCCATTGAGTGTATGCCCTTGCACTAGATCGATTTATTGAGACCCTTACATTACCCTCCGATGTACTTGCATACAAATATACAGCGGTATCAATTAAATAGGTAGGAAATGTATGGAAAATATATGAATAAAATAATAAAGAAGACATTAATTCTAAGTTAATGGCCTCTTAGATATCAGAAAATGATATTTTATTTAATTTTAGAATATATTTTTCGGTGTGAAAATATTACTTGATCCGCCTCCCACTGCATACAAACTGCGTCAAGTTTTGTACGAAATGACTTCATATCGACAAATGCATTGCAATCAGCGACTTGTTTATTCCTTGCTATTTAGGATTTAACTAATAACAAAGCAGCATGCTCTAGTAAATTTTAATGTAGTTTGATGGGTTTTTTTTTTTTTTACAGTTTATAATAGCAAATCATTTCATTTTGTGGTATTTTAAAGAATTGTTAGGTTTGTATGATGTAATTGTTAAATTTCCCGTACAAATTAGGCCCCGCCTCCTTTTTGTAGCCTTAACTGTGCTGCGAAGAAGAACGAACACAGTGTCTCAATAATTTCGGAACAGCCCTCGTTAAAACTGCAAAAAGAATTATAAATCTTGCAGCCAACAAATAGGAATTATAATGACATAGAGTTTTTCCCCTTTCACCCTCAGCTTTAGTTCCATGACTGTTCTTGATCTAGTTAACAAGTCGTCCATTGGATTTACATCAATTAAATTTTTTCCCGTAATTGATATTTACTAGTTAGAATTATATGTATTTATAAGATAAGTGACGAACAGGATGACATCAGCTTTTCATCAACTTCCCTTATTTATGTACAGTAGTATGTACAGTAGTAATATTCTAACATCATCAGCATAGTGGGGGCCATCAACATCTTTATTAATATTTCAATTCATCTGACCACTTTTTCTTCTTTCAATAAGGGTTGGAATTTGGGAAACATATCATTCAACTAAATCCCACTTTGAGTACTCAATTCCGTAAACAACGAGAAGAATACTGGATCAGAAAACTAGGTATGGCCTTTCCGTATGGTTGATCACATAAATAATGTAGGGGATCTTTCAAGCTCACAATGTGCTAATGTGAATGTGATGGGAATATTTTTCGATACACTTAGACGTAAGCGTAGTCATGGACATCGGTTGCACGATAGACCAAAGATACATAATGTTTCGATTCACTTTTGCTTTAAACCAATAAACAATTGGGTCTCATATCAGATTCGCATTAAAATTTATTCGGTTCCCTTCAAATTTTTTAATGGACTATTTCAAGAGGCTTAAACATGCTCATACTTAGATTCTTCAATGGCAGAATATAAGCTAGTGTTTTTGATTGTGGATTTTGAACAGCATAGGCTCTTTTAGCTACCAAGTATGTCGGAACATAATACTTAGTAATCTTATTCGGAATGTTTACATTTCCAAAAAATAAAGTTTATCAAAAAGAAATGGTTGAATTTATCATTAGAACAGTCGGCTTAGCGGAAAATATCTACAAAATGTAACGCAAGAGAAATAACATCTCCTAAATTTCATCGGAGTGGTGCACCGAACATTTAGAAAGATATTTCACCAGGACTTCTTTTTTATATGTCCTTTTAAAATCTACAGTGATTGATCTCATAGTGTATTCAATAGCACACTGCCTCCAACTAATCGAAGTTTCCTATCTCCATTGCAAAAGAGTTCCATTACATTTAGTAATCACGATATCAAGTATTCTGATTCAACCTGTCGGTTCCTTAAATTTGTCAACAAAGAAATAGATGCTGTGAACATTAGTAATATTCTTAATTATGAAAATTTTCAGTTCTTGCATTCCACCATATTTCAAGTAGAGATACACTCTCCAATTCATAGAGATATTCCCAAATTGTTGCTTACAAACCATTCCATTAAAAGCAAACCTTATAGTGCCTAGATATTGTACATCTTAAACAAAATCCTCTTAAGTGTTCTTGTTCTTCTTTTAACTACAGTCCCGCTGGACATTACTGCTGTTAATATAGTTGAAAAGAAGAAGTAAAGCTATCATCTTAAAAGGTCCTACATACAGGGAGCCCCAGTTTTTCACTTATTGAATTATTATTAAATATTGAATATTTTGATATAAAACGAAGAGAAACAAAACATATATTTGAGGAACTTGTTTTAAAAATAGTTTTGAAATATAATAAAAAATCGTATTAGAAAGTTAAAAGACAGTACGCAAATCGTATATCCTTCCGTTTGTACTAAATTGGAGGTGATAAAAAAATTGGATAGACTATATGAACAATATGTTAAGATTTATTAGACAAGGCTTATGACAATATTGCCTTTGTTTGTAAGCCTCATTATTATAACTGTATTTTAAAAGAACCTGGTTTTAATTCAATGTCGGGAAATCCAACATACTCATAGTTCACTTTGTTCAAAATCACCATTCAGTGTTTAATACTAATAACATTACATCAACCAAGGAGAGTGCGATCTACTCTGTCTATGCTGGATTCCTACACATCATAATAATCGTTACAAAGATACATTGCCGGGTCCAGAAAATGTTCTACCAACCCCTCTTTACTTCTAACATAAATATTAACAGCTGTAAAAGAAAAACTTCAGACGCAATGTGCTACAACATATTCTAGAAGTGGTGTAAATAAGATGTGGATTCTAAAAACTCCTAATATCTTTTAAAATTACAAAGGTTTTTCAAAAGTCATCAACATCAAAACGTATGACTTTTCTACACTTATAACAATCCTTCATCATGATGTATTAAAAAGCTAAGCTTTTTGATATCATAGACAACTGCTTCTTTAATAAAAATGAAACTCGGAAATTTTGTGATTGGACATCAACAAAATTACTTTGTAGAAATGACTTTGATTTTACACACAAGTTCTCAATTATATTCCTACATGCCACCAGGCCCCTAGACCATAAACTGAGAATAGACTTAAGTTAGTCACATTTTCAAATTAATATTATAACTTTTGAAATAATTTTGATAATGAAACAAAATTTTCATCATATGCTTGAACTTGAATTTAATATGCAAACCTGCAAATTTTTAAGTACATATGTTAAAAATTACTCAAGGTATTCAAAATCAAAAATTTGACTTAAGTCTTTTCTCAGTTTATGGTCAGGAAACCTGATCCCACCTCTGATGCTTTTTAGTGGTCCCTTTTTGCTCTACTCCCGATTTGCATTGTTTCAATGGATTTTTGATTTCATCATCTCCACATTCCATCTGAGGCAAATGCATTACAGAATCTTACTCACATATTGTTCCTTTTTTTGGTTTTAGTTGCTTTCTTCTTCTTCTTCTCTCTCTCTCTCTCTCGATATATATATATATATATATATATATATATATATATATATATATATATATATATATATATATATATATATATATATATATATATATATATATATATTCCCATATTTTAAACTTACTTCTGATTTTATTCTCAAAAGTATTGTTAATTAAGAAAAAGGATAAAAAAAAATCTTGCTGTGTAATTTTTTAAAATACATGTTTACAACAAAAGCCTCGACTTTTCTGTCCGTAAAACAACTATGTTTTAATTTAGATTGCATGAAAGAAAAAGAACACAAGCATTTAAATAAAAGAATGTTGTTTTATTCATCACATACGAGATATTTCTGCTACGTAAATATTGTGCAGAAATCTGAAACCACTATAAAACCGATATGGAAACTAAAAGTGTAAATCCTGTAATATTGCATGTTCAAACCTCCAGTAAAAATGTAGTTTCCAATGTCAAGACCTCTTCTTCTTCTTCATAGACTCCCAGGTATCCGCAATCACATGAACGAGTAGCGATTGATCACTTATCACTGATTATATAACAATATCTTCATACATAATTCAGAGAGGTATCAGGACGATAAAAGAAACATAAAACGTGACATTTGGTGGCGGAAATGATTTTAAAAAGTCATCATCGTCAGGCAATAAAAAGCGAAAAACAGCGAATAAAAGGTACCAAAATAACAGATATCATAATTAATTCATACATTTAAAAGTTAGGTGTCCCGATTCTCCAATACATGCCCCCTTGATACTCCTACGCCATGATATTATTGTAAAATTTTGAAAAATAAAATATTAACTAAAAATATTAATGCATCAAACTTTATGAAAAACCTTTTCTTAGTCAGATGTGTAGTTTAGGAGTATCTTTTCGGAATTGATTTTAAAAGCTCCAATATATCGCTTTAAACCCCTTTCTTACAATAGAGTAATCTGTGTGAAACCAAACTATCATGAGGTTCTTGCTGCTTCTCACAATGTAGCTCGGAATTTTGTCTGTATAGAGAATTCTATTGGATGAGTTTAAAGGTCCGTCAAATATCTCTATGAAGTCATATGATCCTTCTAATACCATGTCCACGAACCTATGAAAACAGAAAATAAACTTAACATGCTTTTTCTTCATGGGCGATTTTTTTTATTTAAGCGATTTGCACACATTTTAAGCCATTCTTCCTAATTTTCACCAATTACTAAACACTCGTTATAAAAGACTATTCTTTTTAAAATTGTCAAATTAAGAGCTACTTTCTTTGTGAAAATATCCCGAAACAAGGGAAAATGGAAGCTAATCACAACCACAATCATAAGTTAAAAATGTTAATTTACCTGAGGTAAATCACTTTGATGTGACTTGTCGAAATGTTCCATCTAACATCAGCATAGTTATAGTATACATCAGGATAATCGGGTGACATGATCGTCCCACAGCTCGACAAACAGGAACTGTGGCACTCTATAAGGGAAACAAAACACTTTATCTAAGATTGGAAACTTATGTACTTACATTCATATGTCGACTCAACATATACCAGTGAACTTGAAATAAAAGATACCACAGTCTGATAAACCTGTTTTATATTTAGTTGTTTTACTAGAAAGAGACGCTTATGGTAACCTAACAACCAAACTTGATAAACATGATGTCAAAAGAACAGCAACCAAGCTCAAAAGTCCATTGAAACAATATAAATTTGGAGCATAGCAAGAACAGACCTCTAAAAGCATCAGAGGTGGGATCAGGTGCCATGGAGGAGTAAGCATCCCATGTCCACCGGTCACAACCGCCGTGTGCTCCTGGTCATGATTGGGGAAACGGAAAAATCGGTAGACAAGAATCTTCCAGAATAATCTTTCCAGAGTAAATAACTTGATCTTCATAAATTGTAATTTTCATGCTTCATCCAAATGCAAGATCTGTGTATGTTTTTGTTGAAGACATAAAATTTTGTTTTACATATGCTTGATTTAATAAATTTATATCGATTGTATTTTGAATTATCCTTATATCTCTGTGAAACAACTGTTTTAAAAAAAATGTTTTCCTAAAGCAAGCTTGACAACCTTTTCTATTTCTTAAAGACATATCGTCGTAAATGCTTGAACAAAAACATGTTTTGTCAAGACCCCCTTTAAAACCATTTAGTGACTTTAGCTTTAAAATTTCTGGGCTAAAAAAATAAGACAAAATTTTCCTCATACTCTCAAAAAATACCTGAATCCTGATTCAAAATTGTCGAGGAAGAATCATCGCCTGTTTAATAAAAATGAATTTGTAAATCTTTTTTTTTTATAAAGAATTTATTTCACAAGTCGGACGGGATGTTTTTCTTGTATTTTCTCGAGTGCCAAACATGAAATTGATTCCATATCCTACCATAAAAACAATAAATTTTCTTTGCCCTTTTAATCTTTTTAATAAGTTGTCTTTGTATTATGTATTGACATGTGGTTCATAGCTGAGCTCTTGTGAAATATCACAGCTAAGCGACTGTAAGATCGAAAATCGTTAACATGGGTTTGAACATTTTAGCAAACAGCATGTGTGTCAAAATGATTCATCAGCTCTAGCAATATATAGGGATTTTTTTTCTTTTAAATTAATACTCTTCGTGAAAGGAGAGTGTTGCCAGATATCAGTTTATTTTAGAATATTAATTTTATTCAATGCATAATTTACAGAAACTTATTGTTGAAAATGTAATGAATAATATATATAACAATGATAAATTTCTTTCTGTTTCCAAGTCCCATCTGGGGAACACGTCAGAAAAGAATAGCTGACAGTGTTGTTTTCATCACCATCTGTTTCCTGCGAGGCTATTGTCGAACCAACAGTTGTAGAATTTACACCAGCAGTTGTACCATGAAATATATGGAGATCAATTTAACATTACAAAATAGGAGCAGAGCAAACACGGACCTCCAAAACATCAGAGGTGGGATCAGGTGCCATGGAGGAGTGAGCATCCCCTGCCGACCGATCACCTCCGCCGTGTGCTCCACGCCATGATCAGAAAATAACGGAAAAATCAGTCGACAATTCAGTGTGTAAAAAATGGCCTAACAATTAGTATGAAAAACGGCAGTCAGCATTTTACTCAAAGATAAATTGTATTTGCTGACAAGGTCATTGTATCGACCATAGAACTTACGAAATAATGACTTTAAACGAGACTGCTGATATTATTGTTTCATCAACTTGTTCGTCAATAATTTACCTCGCTTTAGAAATTGTACAATTGTACATACGTAGTGCATACTCTTGCATATCGAATCAACCGAGAGATATAAACCCCGTATGTACGTGATGAAGGTATATTGCTGCATAAGTAAGGGAAGTTGACGATTGAAAAATTAAATTCATCACGTTTATCATAAAGCTTGGTTGTTAGATTACCATTAACGTCTTTTTCAAGTAAAATATCCAAATATGAAACAGATGTGTCAGACTCTGTGGTATCTTTTATCTCAAGCTCACAAGGATATATCGTATCGACATAAGAATGGAAATATCCATTGTTAATTGACAATACATCAATAGTCTCACAGTCTACAAATAAAGTATGCTGATGCTGTATAAAAGTGGGGTATTTTGGTAATTTTGTTCTAAAGTGCTTACACTCCTTCTGTTTAAGATTTGTATTTCAATTTATTTATATTTAATCCCAGATGCAATGAATAGTAACAAATATTAATTTTACACATTTATTGTGAAACATTGATTACATTTTGTGGCGAATATTTGTCACAATCTATTTATACATAAATGTAAATACCCCGGCGGAACCCAGGGAATCACTACCTGCCTACCGGGATGACCTCCCTAGATCCTTGGCGCGATAGCGCCCCCACAGGTGACTGTGGTGGGAACAGACCTCTTGGTACCAACAAGAGTGAGTGCCACATCAAATGAATGAATTCAAGTTCTGACTCGGGACCTAACTCTATACCTGCCTCCCCTGGAATACAACAACAACATGGGGATACTACCCCCAGGGGTAGGCCCCAAAACTTGCCTTTGGTACCCACAAAGATCAAGCTGGTCCCTCAGGTACCGCTGAGGTAACCCCAAATTAATCCTCCCCAGTACTGAGGATAGATTACCCAGAGTTTTGAGCCAGACATGAGAGAATTCCTCATTCGTGGTAATCCCCGAATTCCGCCGCCCCCATACCAGATTGTGACTTAAGAAACTTTATCATAATCCCAAAGCTAGTAAATTCTCAATATATATTTACAAGCTATACTTGCTTACAATACTTATTAAAAGTAACACTGTACAGTAACACTGTACGTAAACACATAATCATCAATGATCACCAATTTCACTGAAGTACTCATTATGTATCACACCATAGACATGTCCAATAAAACTTAGGATTGAATCATTTACATTGATTTCAACAGAAAATGCCCAATTGACACCAAATGGTCCCACCATATACATAATGACCACATCCTTTCTTTGCTAATGATTCCAACCGCTAGGGTGTTCCACATACACATCTCTTTCCATGTAAGAATAGGCTTCTGTCACTGAAATTACAGAAGAGAAAGCAGCAAAAATCTGTACACATATTTTAGGGAAGGGTGGGTGGGTGAAATTTTGCAACATGTCTGCCCTTCTAGCTTTTTCGGTAGACTATGAAAATCGGGGTCATAAGGTGCTTGATTATATTGCGTCCTCTATTTAAAACTCATGGTCTCGATAATGTTTAACCACTACCAAGAACGCACGAGTTATCGCTCTTGCACTGGTATTAAAAGCATTTATCACAATATGGTGATAAATGCAATTAATCCCAGATGCAATGAATAGTAACAAATATTAATTTTACACATTTATTGTGAAACAATGATTACATTTTGTGGCGAATATTTGTCACAACCTATTTATACATAAATGTAAATACCCCGGCGGAACCCAGGGAATCACTACCTGCCTACCGGGATGACCTCCCTAGATCCTTGGCGCGATAGCGCCCCCACAGGTGACTGGGGTGGGAACAGACCTCTTGGTGCCAACAAGAGTGAGTGCCACATCAAATGAATGAATTCAAGTTCTGACTCGGGCCCTAACTCTATACCTGCCTCCCCTGGAATACAACAACAACATGGGGATAATACCCCCAGGGGTAGGCCCCAAAACTTGCCTTTGGTACCCACAAAGATCAAGCTGGTCCCTCAGGTACCGCTGAGGTAACCCCAAATTAATCCTCCCCAGTACTGAGGATAGATTACCCAGAGTTTTGAGCCAGACATGAGAGAATTCCTCATTCGTGGTAATCCCCGAATTCCGCCAAATGAACTTGTCTATACAAGTTCACCCGCCACTAACGTGTTAGGTGTATACATGTTAGTTTTTAATTCATTCCAATTCACCCACCTGACCTTTAAATTTCAAATTTTATGAGTGTTCATGTATAATAGACACTTGTTAGTTGTTCCATGTAATAAATCAAGATTCATCTTGGATTAAACTTATATCAGACCAAATAATTGACATACTTTTGGACTAATAACTTGCAGCATAAGCAGGAACATTCCATACTATGAAACAAAAATGATCCAGGCGAGGTGCCCAGGTCCTTGAAACCTTAATGTACCACCCAAGTGCATTTTAATTTATTCTAAAACAAAGAGTCAAATTCCTTCAATCTAATTTTCATGACTCCAACCCCCCCCCCTTTTTTTTAATCAAATTGAGGGCTTTTTCCTCAAGGACAAATGGTGTCACTTTGGGTAGCTCAGTATCCTATGAATGCCATATCCCAGACTACACACAATCTACAAAAACTAAAATTTTATATGGATAGATGTATAATACGTTTAAGCCAAAATTGAAATTGAGCTATAATATTTAATTATACAAATCTCACACCAATGTTTAAGGCATATATAGATATGGATTCCACCTGCCCAATTGTTTAATAATTTGTTCAGGAATGCCCTATAATACTGCTGCTGAAAAGAGTGTGATCTAAAACAGTATTTGTTTATGTTACAGAAATGAATAGTATTGCAATTAGGGTTTGATAACTAATAACACGTTAGTAGTTAGGGGATTACCATTGAAATGTACCAAAATTTGGCCATGGCTAGGTGTACCAAGTTCAGACTCTATTGTTAAGGATTTGTTCATCCATCTAGCTTAATGATGCCAATGTGACATTGTTGAAAAGGTGTGAATCAATTATTGAAACTTATTGTTTCCAATATTGACCTGAGATGCACGGGGGCCCAAAGCCCAAAAATGAAGCCACTGTCAATGCGAAATAGAATCTGCAATTTAATTTGATATAATAACTAACTAATGAACTCTGCTTAAATATAATAGTGAAATAAGTGATATTAACTACAAGTTTCTAACCAATAGTCTGACTTTAGCAGAATTGACTATTTGCACGACCGATTGCTTGTCAGTATGCACTAATGTCCTATTGTTAGCCAAAG